GAGGGGTTGAATTTCAGCAGCTTTCATTACAAAGTTATCTTTTGATCATGAACTTTGCTGTCCAGTGTCTGAAAAATTAAACCCGGAAAACTCTATGAGTTAAGCCTAAAGAAATATGCGCCACCAGTGGAGAGCAATGCTAATGTTTAACTAGCTGGAATAGCTGTTTGCTTAGTGGAGAATGTTCGGTATCTGACAGAAGGGACAGCTCTCTTATTAGTAATCAAATAGGGTTGACCAGTTGTGGCCGTCACTCAGGCAATTGAGAACAATCAACACTGTATAGGACTCGAACTACAAAAATCAATATCATTATATCTGTCTTTAGTGTTGTGGCTGCGGAAATTATACGGCCTTGGAGTGTTGTCTTGTAACTGAATTTATTTTATTTTTTTGAATGGCTGAAAGTGTTTGAGCAGCTATTGGAATCTTGTCTGACTGTGAGATGCTTGAAAAGGCAGTGCACGTGTGCTCCTCATACGGGATGGTAAAGTGTTTCATCTTTTGAGTTGTCTTCAATTGGTGCTATTTATACATTTAAAAAGATGACTTGTTTTTAAATCATGAGGGTTTTTAGCATGGCACAGTAATGAAGCAGCCGTGTTGATTCAACTAACATTTTAGATGCTCTGTGTTACCTTCAAAATCACTTTTGGTTTGTGTGACTTTGAATCAGTTACTGACTGTTGATACTGAATAACTTTTAATACTATTTTTTAATCACATGATGGGAAACATCTTCCTTAGATATGCAGAAATGTACTCTTTAATTCTTGTCTGAGTGAATGTTCTCTTATGTTTGGTTAATTAAAATATGTGCTGAGATTACTGATACCGCTCTAACCCAAGAGAAGTATGTGATCATTTGATATTCTAGAAGCATGAGAGGAGGTGAAAAATGTAAAAACATTTGGTTAATGGGTTTACCAAGTTTATTTGAATAAGGAGGATTGCAGCTCCATTTACGCTAGGCATAAATGCTTTGGAGGTCTTAATTATTGATGAAAAATCTGCTCTGCTTCTAAATTCAAAGATATGACAATTTTATAGAAATTTTAATCACCTTCCATGCTAGGGATTTTAAGGTAAGGATAGTTTTATGTAACGACAAATAGAATGTACATTTTTAGCATTCTTAAGAGAGCTGTCACTTACCATGACAAATACTCTTTGCGTTTTGTTGTTTGATGTAAATCTTTGTGAAATGACTGCAGTATTGGCACAATCTCCAGTTTAAGGCATATTTCTAGGGGAAAAAATGAAGAGTTTAGTGTTCACTAGGGCAAGTTGTGTTAATCAGAGAAAGAAAAATACCGATAGGAGGGGAATATCTTCAGAGTGATGGAGTCTTTCGCAACTGAGATGTGTTTCAGTTTCATAATGATAATCATTTGTGTGGCGTGTGTGTTGCCTCCTAAAATTAGTTGTTTACGTTGAGTTTCTAGCCCGTGTTTCCTCTTGAGTATTGCAGAATAAAATATCCCATCAAATCAGTGAGTCAGTCTACAGGTCCCCATCAGCAATGTCATCACTTGGTTAGTTGGCTTAAAAAAGAATTATATACAATGTGCTTTGCCGGCTCCTTGTGGCCTTTGGATACATTTAGCAGGTTCTGACCAGATAAGGCATATTTGTCCTGAGGATATAAACCAATAATTCCAACCTGAATTGAGATCAATGGGCCCACATTTGTTCTAACCCACACCGAGCCTCTTCTGGCACGCTGAGACTGCTTTTCTGTGTTATGAGAGCAGAGAGGTAGGCTCCCTGCTCTGGCAGGGAAATCACATTCTATAGACTCCGATGCCTTAAGTCAATTAATTACACAATTCAGTTTAGTTATCTTTCAGAAGCATTAAATACTCACGAACAGCATGGAAGACCCCTCTGTAAAAAAGAGGGGGGAAAAGTGAGGATATTTTGCACTACAAAACCGTTATAATTTATGGTGAAGGTTTCCCTTACGTTAACTGTTTTCTTCTTGATGAAACAGTGCCTTTTTTATAGCTTCACAAATATAATTATACTGTGGCATATTTAGAATAATATAACTAATGGGGTAAAGGAGAAACATAGCACTGTAAAGGAAAAATCGTGGTCAGTAAAGGGATGCTTCAGAAACAAGCATCTATGGTAGATGGTGGTGAGATGCGGAGAGCCAGATGCAGGGAGGGGGAAGGCCTGTGTGTGTGTGTGTGTGCGCGCTTGCACACCCATGCACACCCCACACGTATATACGTGTGTACACTCATGCACACACCCACATACATGTATATATGTGTGTGTACACACTCATGCATGTATACCCATGTTTATGTATATATGTGTGTGTATACATGCACAAATATATATATATATATACACACACACACACATGAATTTTTAGGGTATTGCTGAAAAGGATGGGAGTATCATTTTCCTCATGGAATAATGTTTTCTGGGAAAACACAAAAGCAGATGGTCTTCATTAGGAACACCCATTGTCCACATATCCCAACTATGAACAGATAAATCTCTCCTGTTTCACCCGTACATTCCAAGGGCTGTAAATGATTACAGGATGTTGGTGTAGCTGCTAAACCAAAGCCACACTCTGCCTCTCGCCCACCTCCCGTGCCATCCTGGTGTTTCCCGGGCCTCGGGAAGCGCCCAGGAGGGTCCACGTTCTTACCTCCCCTTCCGTGCTGGCCCTCAGTGGACCAGAGGTGCAGGTCCAACTGTTGCAAAGTGGAAAGGCCGGTCCGGGAGGTGGCAGGAGCCGGGTGGTGTGACCGTCCAGAGGGGCCGGGTCACACACTGTGTGCTCCGGGCCGTGCCTGGGGCGTGCTCGGCAGGGCGGTTCCAGATGGCCCCGTCTCAGGCGCCCTACTTGCTGGCATCTCTGTGGCAGACAGTGCCCCCTCCCCAGTAAATCTGGCGTGGGTCTATAGAGTTTGGGAGACTTATCATTCCAAGTCTGTCCTACTTTCCTGTCTGGAAGCCAGACATCTGTTTATCCCATTTTCTTTCATACAGAGTTTGGAATAGCTTTAGTTTGGGGGGGAGGAGGGAGTTTTGTCATATTTAACAGCTGTTACAAAATTTCAACCCTGTGGGCTCTGAAAATACTTTTCAGCTGACCTCAGATTTTTTATACATAATTGACATTGGGTTGTAGAAAAATATTATTGACTTAACCTCTCATTGTCTGCGATTTCACATGGTCTTGAGTCAGAAGAGCTAACTGTCCACAGTTTTAACTCCCCCTCCATCCACCAGCCCTCCAGAGCCTTCCTTTGATTCATTTACGAGTTTTAAGTTTACACCTTTAAAGTGATTGCAGAACGGTAGCTGAAGACCGATTGGAGATTTTCTTTCTTTCTTTCTTTCTTTCTCTCTTTTTTTTTTTTTTTTAGCCAACAGTGTTTCCTTTCACTTCCTGTCACAAAGGTCAAAGAGAGCCGACCTTTGCTGGCAGTCCTCCTCACTGAATTATTCATGGCATTGACTTTTTGTCAGCACACACAGTTGTGCTCTGGGACATTTTATTCATTTACCTCATTTAAAGCGCCTTTCTGCACCTGTTCAAGTATTAATATCATGTAATTTGGGCCTAATGCCGATTTTGCTGAACACTCATTATATTTTTTATTAGCTATATTTCCAAACGATTATGTATGATTATTACCAAGCCTTACAAACAGCACCGGGTTATTCCCTAGCCCCTTACATCTTCTTGTCAGGTTGTTTTCAGAAGCGGGGAGGATAAACATTTGACCAGTCCCAATGTTTTTATTCCTTCTCCCTCTCCAAGCAGAGAACTTAAGGCTCCCTCCCTCATGGCTTTGCACGAGCGTGATTAAATCCAACTCCGAGGGAGCTGTACAAATGCCAGCGTTTATAAGGTCAACGCTTTTGTTAAAAATGCTATGTAAATGAGGATCTGCAAAAAGGGACATTAAATAAAATTAAATTCATTGTCTTCTTTAATGTCATTTACATTTTGGCTAAGCCCCGGCCTGTCAGGGAGGATTTTAAAAATAATTTTAATTACACATCATTT